TGCTCCGAAATTTTAACACTATCTAGCCAAGACTGTCTGGGTGAGAAAAAGCAAAAAAAAAAAATTCACGAAAAATGCCCACGAACCTGCATCTCTACCTTTTAAAATACTTTTAGTAGTACTGTGGTTGTCATATGAGTAACTGTGATATTGGATGTGTCCTATTTGCTGTTTTTGTGGCCGCGATATTTTGGTTTATTCGATTCACATCACACTATAGCTTTTGTTCTCAGGTTATTTTTTTTTATTCCCATGTGATTTCCGTTCAATTCGAACAGAGAGATGAAATATCTTTGTTTCTGTAACCTGCCAAGTTCTGGTAACCTTTTAGTACAAGGCCAGGTAATCGATATTGACAACGAAACAAATCCCATTCGCTATATATCACCCATTTGGACAGTGTGAAAACGTCTTGTTTACTACTTCCAAATGTAGATAGTCTTATTATATGCAGAATCAAAATTGTTAAACTTTACAGTACAGATGCAAATTCCCACAATACTTAAAATATTGAAATATTAACTGGTGTGATTAAACAAAACTACAGATAATATGACTAATAAATAACAATAAATAAAATACATTAACGCTACCCTTTTACTATAACACATTTCTCAGATTAATAAATTGATAATTATTGAAATAAAAAAAAATCAGTTTTAAAAATTAAAAACAGTGAAACTACTTTATCATTATTTGAAGGTCATGAACTTCAGATGGTAATCAAATAATCGATGAGTGTGTTTATCTGAGATTTTCCTAGTATATAAAAAATAAATTATCTATATTCAAGCAAAATGATACGTTTTACATTTGAAAGGGCAGAATATATAGTTTAATATGTACTGTAATAATACAGCCCTTTTTTCCGAATAATCAGTTGGTTGTACAAATCTCGAATTAAATGGGCCAATGATCTATGCTATTATATTCTTATCAATCAGATCGCGTCTATATGCAATATACAGCTCAGCATTGTTGTCATAGCAATCACACAGGGAAGATAACAAACAATATTCAATCCAGTCTTGGTAACACGTTTATCTTCGATGAATACAGACGAGGTTTTCCAGACCCAGATATACATCAAACATTGTGAAACGTTAATTACTATCATGCAAAAACGGAGGTTTCGTATGTGTATCCTTGATAAAGCTTTGGTTACTAAAACATAATAGCATTTGTCGCGTCAAAACGATGGATTTGAGTATCGAACGCGTTGCTGAATACTGTAGAACACAAACTACAATCTATTTCGCATATAACACGTTAATCTTTTGCCATATTTAACTAAAGTCAATTTTAACATTATTTAACTGTATTGAACAAATAGATTGGCACTCACAGTGTCATCTGCATTTCTGTTTAATCAATGAGTGTTTATTTTGCAATTAGAGTAGATATACAACATTCTACCACACACAGATCTATCGTAACAAGGCTTGCTAATTGGAATGTATTATGCAGTATTATATTGTCGATATGACATAAATTTTGCAGCTGAACCATAGACATTCTTTCATATCCTTCTGAAACAACCCGACTATACTGTAATATTTGTAATAATTTGTAATATTGTTATTGGCTTGTTGTGTAAATGAATACTACTTGTCTTTTGGCAAAATAGACCCGCTCCATGAAAGTATACTGAGGTAAACTAATATTTGCAAGATTAATCGCATTATGTCACGCACAGCGATATGCAATACTCACCACGTCTATAAGTTGATTAATTGTCATGTACAGATGCACGTTCACTGATTCGCTGCTGTCATTCACAGGACGTGTAGCAACGGAATAATTGGAAAACAATTCATTAATAAGGTAGTCCTCGGCAGATAAGTTGTTTTGGAATTCTGAAAATTGAATTAAAATGATGAGAATAAGCACAAGTCAAGAAGGTGTTTCCAGAAACAGTGAAAGCACTTGAACATAAAATATGATAATCTCTGGAGCTGTTTTTGCAAAACACATTGTAAATGTATTGAGTACAGAAAAAGGAATATCACAATGAATAAATGAATATCCTAATATGGAAAGTCGTAAGATGATTTAAAAACCTGCACTGGCAATGATGAATATTACATGAGAAATTTACATGGGGATACGGTAGATGACTCAGAGTCCTGGGTCAAGAAAGTGGTAAATATTACAAGATAATATCATACACGGTCTAATAACTGTACTTTGAAGAAAGATGGTTATCACATGACACCACTGTATATAATATAAGAAACTCTGGTATGAAAAAAGATGAATAGAAAATGGGAATACGATGGGAGATTTAATAAGCTAAACTATGAAGTGAGAAAAAAGAAACATGTGAAAATAGTGGATGAGTTTAGTGGCTGAGCTTAGAATGATGCATAGCACATTGGTTACACCATAGGTAGGGATAATATCAAATGGTAAAACACTGGATGATTAGAGGAGCTGTATTGTGTAGAAAATGAAAATATCCCATAACTATAGGTGATATGAGACGCGATTTTAACCTTTTTTTTATTATAAAGTTTAACAGTGGCGAGTGTATACACGATTACAATAATAACATAATATTATCATGTGAATACAAATTGCTATCGCAAAATTAATATGAAGGTGTTTTCGTGGTTGAAGCACATACGAATTATTTGCGAAACGTGTAGATAAAAAAGATTAAAGGTATTTTTTAGAATTTAAGTGAAGGATATAATAAACGATTGAAGTGCATTCATTCACGTATATGAATGCACGACAGAAACAGCAATTATATTTGACTACCATCAAGTCAACCGAAGCTGATGTTTGTACTGACCAATTGCGTTTACAGATTAGGTTGGTATATTTGCATGTGTGTTTCAGGGTTCATTTCCATTGTTAACAACATTTACATATTAAAGATATCACAGGTGAACAACATTACACTGCATAATTAACTTGTGAATATTTATAACTATATTTGTAAAGTACAACTGATATCGAATTTGTGGTAGATCAAGGAGCATTAGATTGCCATGTAAATTTGGAGTTGAGGGTTCGAACCCAAGCAGAGGCGTTACACGTATCATAAATTAATTATTAGATATATTCCATAAATATATGGAGGACACTGATAATCATGAAATTGAAACGAGTGTTGACTTTGCGGGCATTATCCAGATAATCGGTCGGAAAATGCCACGGGAAAAGAAAAAGTTAGCCTACATGCAGTGTAAGGAATAAATACGGGCCTTATTTTCTATTGATGGGTAAACAAATCTCTAATCGATTGTCATGATTGAACAGATTAGTACTTGACTCTATACTATATTGTATGTGTATTTTGTTTTTCTGCTGATTCATGTAATATAAATGTCACTGTTCCCAGCCTAGGGGCTAAGGTGATTGATGGACGTGTTCAGTTATATTATAATAAAATCCATGTTATGTATTGTACTTTCAATTGGTATCAATATATAAAACAGTATAGAAGTATAACAGACTGTGTATAATTGTTACATTTTCGTAGGTTCGTTGGCACACTGTGCTCAACTATAAATTAAGTGTCCTTGGGGAATTACAAGTGAGAAGGAAACAACAGCATACACAAACGATATGAAGCATGACTATGTTAACATTGTAGACAAATAAAGTCCAGTTATTATATTATGCTTAATACTCATGGCATTATCTTCACCTTTCCAACATAACTAAACTTCTAGTAAGCACTATTATTATACAATATCTTACAAATCGTAAACTACGAAAGCATAGCTGCTAGGTGAGTATTACTTTCAATACAATGTAATTTTTTTAAAGTAAGGGTATTGTAATCTTCAAAGCGCCGGCCATTCAGGCAATACTTTGATAGACTCAGATCCGTTTCAGATGACGGCTCTAGGGAAAGATACTCAAATCTATATATCGGAGGCGGTTTTGCAACACGTACTTTTTGGTTATTGCCGTGCCTTACTTTGATTAAGTGCTTTTACTTTGTGGCAGTTTTCAATTTTAGAATAGCCTTAATAAGGGAATTAGATATCCGGATTCGTGTTTCAACGAGATCGAAATGTCTCACTTCTTAGATTCCTACAGCACCGTGGAGTGCCACGGGCGGATATCAGCGACAATATATTGCTATTACACATACCCAGAAGATAAGGTGTCTTCAGTGGAGGTCTTAGTAAGTACATATTGTAGACACGTTAGATACGCGCAATTATTTATGTAATCGATGATATCTGGATCATCTCACGTGCCAGCTTGATCTGCTTGGCTACAGGGATATGTTTAGCATGTTATCTAATATTGATACGTTGATGGAGATCTGATGTTGTGGCATATAACTGTTCGGGAGGACAACACTGAATAAAGACTGAGTTACTATATCACAATGAATTTACACTCAACACTAAACTTTGACGGAGTTTCGAATTGATTTAAAGAACTGTGAACTTCTCATTACATTTAGTATTATTCGATTCATTGCGTATGTCTGACTTCGTGATCTAAAGTAGGTTTATCAGAATGCCATTATCCATTTCTTGACGCGTAGGTCTAATGCATTTCGCGTGGTAATGTATCCGCTCGCACATTTCAAGTCAAGACTTTCTGATTCTGTCACAAGCTGACTCTCCGAAGACGTACACACTTAAACTGTCCCATCGACTCGCGTGAACCCATATTTTCAATTTAAAACCAATTATTCAATTTACACTTTTAGAGCGTGCTATTCCCTGACGTCGCGCGACACATGGCATTGTTTCCTGTAAACTGTTCCTCTTTTGTAAATTGGTATGATCGACGACGCAATGGCACATTTTCAAGACATGAAGAATCACTATTAATCACACAGGTCCCAGTGGTAGGGGAAATAAATCTTGGGTTTTAATAGAAATGGGATTATGTTTATGCCCTTCTGATGTGTGAGAGGAGTAACAACGACTTACATTTTGATACAGACACGGTGTTCTGTATACTAATCAAAATGAATGAATGGATTCAAACGCCATTTGTTCGTAGTGTGTGACCAGAAAAAGACATTCAATTATTCCATGCAATCACTCGTATGTTATTCAACATGGTGAATGCAAATGGTCTTACTTTGTGGAACTAGTATAATAACACGTTTCTTCAAAATCTGGGTTATGAATTAGTCAACATTATGACGAGAATGCGCCAGACAACGCTGAAATGCTACAGGCACATCAGTGCGTTTATGAAAATCCAGATACACGCCGAAACATAGACAAGCATAAAGTAATCCCATGCACATTGAATGTGAAGTTAAGAAAGAACATGCTATGTGTTTTTAATTGAATGTTGAATGATGGTAAAGTAACCATTTCTGTTGTTTCAAGGAATGTTGATAATGGAACAAATTATTTTAAAATAAATATTCTTGAACGACATTCAACTACGACATTCACGAATGCCACGGGACATTGCTTTGTGTGTACACAATGAAATCCAAATAGGTTATCTGTGAGATAAAGGTCATAACAACTGCTCTTCAAAATTGTTTAAACTCTGCTGATTCTGTCTCATATAATAATTTATACGATTATTTTTATTTGAGCATCGTCTGACACTTAATCCGATATCGAATTCACCAGAAAGGCGAGAGAGTTGTCTTAAAAAGAAATTAAATACATTAATTTAAAAATTGTCTGTTTCCGTTCCGCATACGTAGATATAAATAACATCTTCGCCGTAAGGTTTTCGATGAACAGTAACACAACGTTACGTTCAAGGTATATGTCATCAAGGAGTATACTTCAACAGCGATAACGGTTGTCTAATAAGTACACCGAGAGTCGTACGCACACTTAATAAGGAACTTTAAAGTTAAATCGTTTTATATAAATATTTATTCGGACGAATATATCGTATAACGTCGAAACTAAAGTGTAGATGGCGTTACGTATTTATCAGATGTAATTGGTAATCATAACAAGAACGAACACGCGTTATACTAGAATACATTGAATCGAACCAAGAATCAAAACAATATTGTACATATGATGTATTTCAAGTGTATTTTAGTCTTTCAAGTTCAGAATTGTGTCAATTACATAATATCAAGTGATCAACGAGCGTCTTTATCACAAGTACAATTGCACTATAATACCCGATTACTGGGAAAATAGCTATTTCATATTGAATTACACAGAAAGGCCACAGAGTTGATGACGTTCAAATTTATTGGCGTTCAAATGAATCTTATGTTTCCATAGAAACTGAATACATTTATTCTTCCTAGTTAACGGAAACATGTGATGATATACATTACCTTGTAAGATAAATACATGCAATTGAATATTTGTCTTAACATAGAGAACAAACGTCTTTCTAATTTATTCATGCCGTAGTTATGAAAAGTATTGCTATATTGTGTGTGCAGTATTCTTAAGTAATTACCAACCATATAATTAACATATACCATTGTGGCAGACTGTGTACTAGTATACTGTTTCTATGTCAACAGTGAGTTTGACCATTATAAATTATACTGACTTATAATTCCGTTCACAATCAAAATTCTTTATTTCAAAGACATGAATAAATTTCTATAGTGACCATCAAGTTAGAGAAGGCATTACGCTAATACATTCATACATTCTAAAATGGTTTCGATGAGGTGCCGTAGAAAAGAAAGTGATAATATGATTTCATTGCAATATACTCAGTTATTGATCGTCGGCCACCGTCAAAGTTAATGCAATTTCAACTTAGAATGAAAATAGGTCGTATCATTCAACAATCTATAACTAGATTTAATGGCAATCTATGCGAATGCATGTTCACAGTACAACAGATGGAATAATGGTTGCCGTGTATTTTATTAACACACAATAGAGGACTAGTTCTAAAGTAACTTTTTATGTTATAGTAG